CCCCTAACTGTCCCCAACCGCCCCTAGCTGCCCCAAAATGTCCCCAAACGCCCCTAATCATTGTATGCACTCGCCCCTAACCATCCGCATTTGTGACCCACCCTCCACTAACCACCCCTAATTGTCTCCAACCACCCCTAGCTGCCCCTAAATGTCCCCAACCGCCCCTAACCGCCACCCCTAATCGCCCCTAACCATCCGCATCTGTGACCCACCCTCCACTAACCACCCCTAACTGTCCCCAATTGCCCCTAACCGCCCCTAACTGTCCCCAACCGACCCTAACCGCCCCTTATCGCCCCTAACCGTCCCCAACCGCCCCTAACCGTCCCTAGCCGCCCCCTATCCCTTCGCGGAAGATTCATTTGATTTTGCTCATCCTATCGATGAAAGTAGAGTGAGTCTCTCTCTCTCTCTCTCTCGGCCATGCAGCACACACAGAACGGCAGCGGGTACAACCACGGCGGGCGGATGATGGCCATGCAGTGGCATGCACACAGAATTGCGGCAGGTACAACCATGACGGGCGGCCAATTTCCAAGGGGGAACTCCCTGAGGCGAGGCTGGAGCCTTCCAATTTCGAAAGTGGCCAATTTCGAAGTTGGGAGGCTATTTCCTGAAATCTTTTTCTCGTCGTTCGCGCCGGGGAAAAAATTGTGCCTAAGAAAAACAGCTCCGCCGGTCTGCATATTTCCTGGGAAGAGGGGGGGGAAGGTGGATATTACGTACGGTTACCCGACAGAATTGCTTACCCGCCCATACCCATCTGATTTTTTTTTTCACCACCCTATAACGGCTGTACCCATGCTTTTTTTTTCTTGGGCGCCCATACCTGCGTTTTTCCCCTTTTCACCGCCAGTACCTGCCCATGCCTGCCCGTGATCTCCACGCAGTGCAACCGTGCCTGTCCTGAAGTCCACAAATAAAATTTATGCCTGCCCATACCGATGGCCCCTTCCGGAAGGGTACCCGTACCTGCCCATAACCTGCCGGTTACAGTTGGGTACGGTCGGGTACGGGCAACGGTTATCCAGTTGCCACCTTTGATGTGGATGTATCCAAAAATTCAGCAACCACAGTTTCCAAAGTAGATAACTTTGGGAGACAAAATCCAGCGAAGGTGCTGGATGCATATGAGGATGAATCTCAGAAGAAGAAGAAAGCAGCAAAACTTTCCAAAGTAGGGAACTTTGGGGCCTAGAATCCATTGAAGTGCTGGATGTATGTGGATGAAGAAACAAACACGAGCAAGTTCTGCCCCCCCATATCCCCATCTCTCCTCCTCTCCCCCCTCCAGCTCTATACAAATACATAGTGTGCCCCAACTCGCTCAATAACCGGGAATCCGTTCTGGTTGGCAAACATACTGATCTATTGCTGGTGCTGTGTTTGTTTTCTCTGTGGTGTGACCTGACCGTCTGTTCACTGACATGAACATTATTGTCAGATAAAGAGACAAGGCGGAAATCAACAGGGAGTTTCGGTGTGAAGAGAGCTCCATCTCCGCATGTGGGGACGGGTGTGTCACCGAGGTAAGCTGAACCGAGGCAAACACAATTTAAATTTTAAACTGTTAAAACTGTTTAAAGCGCCAGTCGGTTCACCAGCTATTTTGTTCTGACGCGGCGGTTAACATGCTGTGCTCACGAGGGCTCGGATTATGGGATCGAAATGGCTGGCAGGGCCAGGTCAAAAGAAAACATTTTGCGCCTGCGCCGGCTCATTTTTTTTGGGCTTGTAGCAGCAATCCAGGTTGGGGAAAAGATGCCGGGAGGGACCGACGGCGTAACCGGTAATTTTTACCCATAGGTTAACTTAGATGCAAGCTAAAAAACCACACTTGCGGCGCATCAACTGCGCAGCGCGCGGTGCGCGCGCACCGGCGCACGCTGCGCACCTGGGTGCGCGGTGCGCTGCGCACAGGGCCGGTGCGCTGCGTGCTGGTGCGCTGGGGGGTGCGCGCTGGCGGGGCGCAGGTGCGCCGGGTGCGCACACCATTGATTTTATTTTATTTATTTTACTGTTTGTTTAGGGAGTTATTTTACTGTTTTTTTATTTAGGGAGAGAGAGAGAGAGAGAGAGAGAGAGAGAGAGAGAGAGAGAGAGAGAGAGAGAGAGAGAG